CTGCCGCACTCCCAAGCGGCGCACTGTAGCAGTGCGCCACCGGGCCGGCCCAATATTTTTTATATTGTAGACCAAAGCAGTAAGACTCAGAATGTTTTTCAGAATTATGGAAATCCATCCTTTTTAGAAACTTATCTAATATTTTTAAATGTTTGGAAAGATTCTTTTTAAAAGGATAGCCTCTATTTTGTAGAATATTTAATATGAGACTCATTTCTTGCATTCATTTGTACAAGTATTTTTTGAGTGCCTATTATGGACTAGCACCATGTTTTCTGTCTGAGTTATTAAAGCCTGATATACTTTTAAAAAGATGCTAAAAAGATTTCTGATGTTATTTTTAAATTCCCAGGATAACCCACATTTCTTTCTAGGTGTCTCAGATATCAATTCGAAAAGCTGGACAAATTATGAGAATAAAACAGTCAATAAAATTACTGTGGTTGGAAGTGGAGAGTTGGGTATTGCCTGCACATTAGCAATTTCGGCAAAGGTATGTAAGCATAGTGGTGATAAATACATATATCATAGTGCTACACTTTTAGGCAGTTTATGTTTAACATACAAAAAATAATGGCTTCATTTTGTCAAGTAGGTAAACCTCATTTTGCCTTAAAATATATTTAGTAAGTTGACAAAAAAATAGCTGAAAGTTCTCATCAGTGATGTTGCCCCTTAATTAGTAGTTAGTCATGGAGTAGCCTTTGAAAAAGTGATTTGAACAATGGGCTCATCCTAATCCAAGGGAAACTTCATCTTAACATGTATCTGAATTAGTCATAAATTCTTTTGTGTTTTCTGAGTCATGCTGCTTAACTAAACTCTTACTCAATATAATACTTAGTTTTAATGCTTTCTAAAATTAGCATTTTTAGAAAGGATTGCTTTTTCTTGTATAATTACTTTCTTTTAGGATCGTAGTTTTCGAAGTGATATTTTACACTGGTGTAGGATTTGTTTATTTTTTTGTCAATTCTTTTTACTAGATCTTCTATATACAAATTGTTTACAGAAAGGCTTAAATTGCCTTCCAGATAGGTTCAAAATACCTGCCTTCCTTCCTCTGCGGTCCAGTATCTTGGTAACAGCATGTCTTGTGTCATTTGAGAGATGTCACCCGGAGTAGAATAGCTGTCCCTCTATATGTTTATTTGNTTATGAGTTTACAGTTTGTCACTAATATCTCTTACTCTCTGCTACTTGATTTCTATAAATGAGTGTGTGTGTGTGTGTGTGTGTGTGTGTGTGTGTGTGTGTGTGTGTGTTGAATCAAAAATTCCTAAATATTTATTGTAGGGTATTATCGTACAGTTCCAATGAAGATGGTTTTTTAAAAATGTAAAAAATTACTCTTATACTGACATAAAATAATTCTTGTTTTGTTCAAAACCATTTGATGTATGTGAATTATTCCAAGCCTTTTTCATTATATGTTTATGTAGCTTTTTGGCTTATTCAGTATATTGGACCAGATGGTCTATGATTCTCAATGTTTCTCATTAAGGATAAAGCCAAATACCCATGCTTGGAAAATGTTAGTAAACTGTTTAAT